GCTGGACTCCAACATGTTCCGCTTGTGCCTCCCCCACTGGAGTGGCTTCGCACATTGCCATCTCTCCTCCTCACCCTGCTCCAGCTGGAAAGCCGATTTTTCAGTCCAGTGGAACAAACACGACGGAATACAAAAGGACAAGTCGGCAATAGAGACTCCTGAGGGCTCGAAGACACGGGGAGGGTGGCGAAAACTGTAAGGCTTTCGGGACTAACAGGAAACATGGGCAGCAACGGTGAAGATACCTGAACGAGAGGGACGACTCTGGTTAAGTGCGGGATGACCTGTCGGGATGAGGGGGGGTTTGTCTGCACCCCCCCATACACCTTTGGCAGCCGACTTACTTTGAACCAGCGTTAGGACACTGTAAACATTCTTCAGATTTTTTTGGGGGGGGGGTTCCTTTTATTAAAAGATGTTAACGGGACACACACTGGACTGGGCCGGAACGCAAAGACCAGTGGGGACTGCTTTTTTTCAGTAGAGCGCGGTCCCGTGTGAACGCTCATTCAGTACCAAGAATGGCGTACACACGTTCCTGTGTGAATCCCCGGCCATCTCTTCAGACTGCAAGATCTGCAATAGGCTGGCAAGGCTGGCAAGGCCAGCTGCGGAAGAGGGAGAGAAAAGGGCCTTGCTAAATCCTGCATCGGCCCTGGCTTTTTGGCAGCTTGAAGCCTTTTGGTCTTGGCAGCAATTATGGCTCCAATGGCAACTGGGGAAGCCAAGCTGTGTGAGCGTGCGGGGACCCTAAACGGGATGCGGTCCCGTGTGCGGCCTTTGAATTGTTCGACTGGGGAAATGGTTCAGTTAATACCATGCCGACGTGTGCCTCTGCGGAAAGCTCACCTAGCTGCAAAAGACAGATCTTGAAAATATCAGCCCATCTGCATACCCTCAGCACTGGGGGGGACGACCCAATTCTATTCCATTATGGTTCAAAATGATGTAATGGGAACATATTATGCAAACTGCAACCCCTTTGCATTTATTCTGTATAATCAGTTGCCACAGGGAGGGGCAAAAATGGTTGGCAAAGCACCCACGAGCTGCCCCTTCAACCGGTGACGGTCCGACTCTGAAGTCCTGGAGTTGTCAGATACCTCCCACGCTACTTCAAGCTCAGTTGTCACAGCCACTGAGAAATTCGCTCAAATGAAAGCGAAGATTCTCGCACTGCTAAAACTCTGCTTCTAATAACAATTTGGGGGGATCACGGCAGGATATACACAACCTTCCCATCAACAGTGGATGGGTGGGGTTCCTGAGGTAAAATCTTCTAAATATTTGCAAAGGGGCTTGAATAAATTCCTGGGACAGTTTCCAAACACCACTTCGTCGTCGTCCCCCCCCCATTACTTTTCGTTGGGAAAACCCCAATCCAGGTTTCTTGGAAAACGTATTGGGGAGACTATAATAAATGTTGGGTTTATGTGAATAAAAATGCAGAATTCACAAAAGATCTACATGTTCTGAAGGACACACCCAGGTTCTTCTAACTTAAGAGTAGTGCCGAATCTGCTCTTATTGAACCACCACCCATTCTCACAAGCGTTGGCCTCTCACAGGTCAAAACGGGCTACATAACTAACACCGTTGGGCTTCCCACCATGGGCAGACACAACACCAAGAGAAACCAGTTGTGTCTTCCCCTGGGACACTGAGCCGTGAGCATCAGATGAGCACCCTTGTAGTACTGAAGAGAAAAAGGTGACCTCGGACATCATTCTTACAGAAACAAAGCAAAGTAACGAGGGGCTTTCAGTACAATTCTGTGCAAAATCGCCCATCTTCAGAGGGTTTAGCCTGAAGGCCCCGTTAACCTCACAGATGTGCCCATTTCATCTTACAAATGGCTAAAAAAAGGTCCAAATTCCACAGACCAAGCCTGTGCATTTGGCCAAAGGGGATTTGGTCTGCCAGCGCCCCCCCCCCCCCAGTCCCCAATCTGCTCTCCAAATCCAATCTGGAAAACAAAACCCCACATCCAAATCCGCCTTCGAATAGACCTATTGCTGTCATTTGTCCAAAGCTATGGTGTAGCGAGTTGATCTGTCAAAATACAGGACAACACAAAGTTGGGAAGGGATGGGGAGGAAGGTCACTGACCAGCTACGCAATCCAGTAGGGCTTTTAAAATAAAGACAGAAAAAGGAAATCAACTCCACCCACATCATCTTCTTTTGAACAAATGCTTGCATCGTCCAGTATTATTGCAGTGGCAAAGAAAGGTGCTGAACAGAGACGCTTTCGTCTCCTGAAATGGGGACCCTCCCGTAGAAACCAAAGAAGGGGGGACTGACTGGAAGGTTGGCCAAGGCTGGGGGAATCACCTCTGGTGTGATTGTCACTGGCGTATTTGTCTCCAATATGGGTGGACGGCAGGCAGTTCGAAGATTGCATTTCAGCATCCTTTTGACAGTCACACTGAACTTGGTCTGTAAAATTGTTGTTGTGTACATAATGCCTCAAATCGGGGGGGGGGGGATGCTAGACTTCAAAATATTAATAATAAACCTTGACTCTTTCCTTCCCTCCAGACACAATGTCTTCACATACAATAAATAGCTTCCACGTCGTATACATCCCCCTTTCCTCCCTTCCCGCCCCCAAAATTTACATTGTCTTCTGCATTGCGCTACCTATACACACACGTGCACGCACAAAAAAAAGATGCTGAGCTTCCCCTCTGAAAGTCTGAAAATGTTCATGCCGCGCCTTGGCTGGTGGGCCGTTCGGAGGGAGAGGTGGAACTGGTGAACTGGCCGAATCCGGGTTTTTGTAACCACGTTGTCCTTTTCGCGCTTATGGTCCGGATAACTTGTCAGGATGGACTGTGGATGGCATGACGGCTGGCCGGCGCACCCAGGGCTCATTGTGAGCTAGCAAAGTGCTATGACGTTAATTCATGTTGACCCCCCCCCCCCTTTTCTGGATGTACATTCACAAGAACTATGCTGAGTGACAAGAAAGGGAAGCCGATAGTTTTTTTCCCTCCCAGTAGTAAAAACCTGCCAGGATCTTCCTTGTTGACTTCGTTAGAGACGAGTGGCTTCGGACCTGGCAGTATGGCTACTTAAACCACTGAGATGTGTTGGGCGTTGTGAGCTTCGTTTCGAAAAGAGCCACGGTCTCCACAGATAAGTGAAATTTACCTTTCGGAGAATCACGAGCTCCTCGATGGCACGCACCGTATAAATTTGGGGTCGGGACCCCAGTAGCAAACCGGACGTGTGTGTTTGTGCCTTTCCCCCCCCCTGTCTGGATGAGTTGTGGAAAGCCCCGCCGTGGCTTGAAAGAGGCCACCTTCACAGTGCTCCGAGTCTTAGTATCGGGGGAGGAGGAGGGGGGGGGGAACACCCTAAGAAACAAAGCTGTTGCGTTTAGAAAAAGTTCTCTTTTACATAGAAGAGCTTTGTAAAGTAGAAAGTGGTACAAATGGCCGGAGGCGGGAGGGGGGGGGGGAAGCGGGACCAACCGGGAGGGACGCTGGCGCAAATATAAAAAAATGCCAGGAGCTCTAGGCAAGACAGGGCAACCCTGATGTTTGGTGAACGGGCCGTCCTTTCTCCCAGGATAAGGGTGTTTAGGAAAGGAACGTCCCTTGGCAGCAGCTGTAGATTCTGAATCCTGGTGTGGTGGGGTCGAGGCCACGGGTGGGGGAATTCGCGGGCTTCCTTTCTTTGTAGGCACTTTCCCCTTTTGTGTCCTTTTCCTTTGGGCGGTTCCTCCGTTTCTAGGACGGCTGAGAGAGGGTGCTGCAAAGAGAGTCTCTGAGACCAGGGGAACCGCTCACACATTCAAACAAACCCACTTTTCTCAGATGTTGCTGTGATGTCAGAAACAGTCTAAGGTGCCGGTCCCTCGTGTTAAATTGGCTTGTCTCTGTTTGGGCCGCATGACAGAGCGATACGCTTCCTTTTAATCTCCATACTTTTGGAGGAAAAAAAGGGGAGGGGGATCCTCAACCCCCCTCTACCGACATCCGTGTGTGTGTGTGTGTGTGTGTGTTTGCGCGTGCTTGTGTCATGTATCCCAGTTTAGCAACATCTAACTGCCATGCGCCATACACAGGGAGAGTGCAACTTTATAAAATAGTAACAGGCCTCCTCTCTTCAGAACATTTTTCAGTGCAAACCAAATGAAAACGATGAGGTTTTACAGTTGCATAACTACAGTTGAGACAGACAGACAAAAAAAAAAAAACCACGGTTATCTTCTTGGTCAAAAAGACATTGCCAAAGGTGGGAAGAAGGAATCGGTTTCCCGTCTGTGGCCGGTGGAAAAGAAATAGGAGGAGAATTTGGAATTAGGTTTTTTTTTTAAGGTTGTGAAAAGGTCACAGTCGAGAAGTTTGAAACTTGGCAGGGGCGAGTTTCCAAAAGGCTTCCGGTACATCAGTCATGTCCGGAGACTCAAATCGGCCAGGCCACCCCACCCCCTCCCCAGTACTTAGGGACAAGGTTCGGGATACCTCCAATAGCTTCTGTCCTTTTTCTAAACGAGCACCAGTCACATTCAGTCCCACCGTCTTCTAAAATCCCGGCTGGGTTTTTCTGTCCTGTGACGATTTTTTTTCAAAGGAACTGCTGCCACCCACCAGCTGCTCATCGGATTCCATGGCCGTGCTTGCATTGCTTTGCCGGTGTCAAACGCTCCCGCGTCTCTGAGTCCCTCGGGATTGCGGAAAGAAGAGCTGTTCCCAGCAGAGGGAAACTCCTGGGAAAAAAACCCCCCCCCCCCCCTCCCCCCCCCCCCCCCCCCCGGCACCGGAGCGCCTCCCCCCCTTCTATTGCGACTTTCTGACTGATGGCTAAAGAAGCTGAGGAGGCACGTTATTTACAACTGCTAAACCTGGATCAGAAAAGGGAGGCGGGAAAGAGCGTGGGCCGTGACCGGAGACCGTTGAGATCCTCGTTCCCCCTCTCCCGACAACCGGTGTGGCAAAAGGCCCCCTCCTCCTGCCCTTCAGGACGGTGCTTTGCCAGCCCAACACCCTCGCGGGAAGGCCTGCCCCCCTTTCGTGCGGGGGGGGGGAAGAAACGCGTTCCCGTCCTCCTCTCTCAAACCCATCGCTGCCTCGCTGGTAATGAGTAGCACCATGTTTGCCTCTTTTTTTTGTGTCCCACACCGTAGGCCTCGGTTCTTCTGCTGTGTCGGCTTCGGCCACAGGCCTCTGCGGCCACCTGTCGCTGGAGCTCAGCCCCCCCCCTCTACTTCTGCCCGAGGGCCCCAGGTTCGGGTTTGGTGGCCGCCGCGCTCCGGCCCCAGCACCCCGTGGCCAGGCTCATGCTCCTCTGGCCGTGGTCCCGGTCTCTCTCCCGGTCGCTCTCCGACTGGCTCTGTGTCCGCTCCGGCCTGTGGCTGGCGCCCCCGCCCGCTGCCATGGGCTGGGACGAGATGGTGCGCAGCAGGTGGTTCCGCTTGCGGAGGAATTCAGTCTGGCTGGGGAGGCCGAAGCTGCCTTTCCGGAGGGCCATCCGGGTGGTGTTCTTGGCAGGCCGGGAGCGGTGGGCGTATTCCAGCTGGGCCAGGTGGGCTGCGTATCCCTCGGTAATGAACTGAAAATTAAAAAAAACAACAACACACATTTATTTTAAAGAAAGAGAAACTTGCTTTGCAAAAAACACACACACACGCACGCATTCCAGAACTCCATTCTGGTTCTGCGGCTGAATGTAATTTCACAGTGACATGTTCAGACATTACTGAAAGTGGACACAAGGAACTACATAATAATACAAGCAACTAAATAATAAAAAACCAACAACATTTGCCAAACAGCAACTGGGCAAAGAATTTGGCTCAAAGAGTAGTAGTAGTGGAAGAAGAAGAGATTGGGTTTCTACCCTGCCCTTCACTTGGAGTCTCAGAGTAGCTTACAATCTCCTTCCCTTCCCCAGAACAGACACCCTGTGAGGTAGGTGGGGCTGAGAGAGCTCTTTCGAGGACTGTCCTTGAGAGAACATCTCCGAAAGAACTTGTAACTGACCCAGGGTCACACCAGCAGCTGCATGTGAAGGAGTGGGGAATCAAACCCGGTTCTCCCAGATGAGAGTCACACTCCTAACCACTACACCAAACTGGCTCTTAGTAATCTAAGGCACTCTAACTTCTGAAAGGTGCCACCCTGTTGCATAATCATTGGGTCAGCTGCCTCCTCCTCCTCCTAAGCAAAGAGCAGAATTTTACCTGACTCCTGCCCCTGTTCAGGAATCTGGGAAGGCAGGGATACATGCGGTGGTTCAAAATCCTCAAAACTCCCTTCAGCATGACAACAGCAACCACATTTTTATCCCACCCTTTATATACCCTTTGCAGAACATTATCCAGGACATCTAGCTCGCCCCATCCCTACAGCATGGGGTGGATTGCCACATAAAAAGGTATGCTTCCAGTGATTTTTAAAAAATCACTGGAAGCATACAAGCGGGGTGTGTGCAGCAGGGGGTCTCCAACACGGTGCCCGTGGGCACCACAACACCCACCAACGCCTTTCCTGGCACCTTCCCGGTTTTTTTCTTTTACAAAGCGAGTGGGGGGCCAGGTGGGTCTCCTGCCCTGCAGGGCCTCTGATTGGCCAGTGGAGATCTGATCAGCTGCGCAGGTTAAAATAACGTCGTTCTGGCGTCAGCTCCCACCGCAGTGCTGGTTCTGTTTTCTCTCATGCTTGTCTTTTCCCAGCATATTAAAAAAAAATCACTCCTCGTCTCCTGCACTGGGGCGTCTCTTCTGAGCGTGTCGGAGTGCCGCCTCCCACGGCAGACATTTTGTGGCTGGCTCCGCCTCCCGCGGCAGCCGTTTTCTGTTGGCACCCACCGCCCTTTGTCAGAATGCCACAGGAATCAAAAAGGCTGGGGACCCCTGGTCTAGATTGCAAGTTTAGCCCCGGGAGCCTGAAGGTCTCAGAGCACACAAAAGTCAGGCAGGCAGGCTGGGACACGGCTGCTGCTGCTGCTGCTTCCCATGTTCCAGATCTCCTGGGCTTCTTGTCTGCCCTTCGGAATGGCTGGGGAGTGGTGAAACCGGCTTGCTTCTCCGCAGAATCAGGCCCTCTGTCCTCTCTGTTTTGCTCAGCAGCCAGAAGTGTGGCAGAATTCTAAGCGAGATACGGCAGTTCTGCAAAGCAGCCTGAATGGTCTTAGGCCTCTCTGGCCCTGTCTGCACTAGACTTTAGATCCTGGTTCAACCCCGTCCCCGAACTTACATTCTACACTACACACAAGTTCACCCCTGTAATTATCTCGGGGGTATTTTTACATTCTGCACTACAGTTGAGGTCACCCCAGTTTCACCCAACACTTGTCCCGGGACAAACGGATGCTGTTATAACCAGGGATAAGTGCAACCAGTGTTCCCTCTAAGCTGAGTTAGTGCGAGCCAGCTCACAGGGTTTTTTTAGCCTCCGGCTCACACATTTTTGCCTTAGCTCAGGAAGGATGGCTCCAGAGCAAACTAATTTATGCAGCAGCCAAATCGCTCGCTCACAACTTTAAGGCCAGTAGCTCACAAAGTAGAATTCTTGCTCACAGGACTCCACACTTTAGAGGGAACATTGAGCGCAACGTATTGTGTTGCGAGTTGAACTCTGATAAAACCAGGGATGAGATCCAAGTGCAGAAAGGACCAAAGTTTGGTTCTCTCCCATAAGGCTCTTTTCAGCCTGACAGTGCACCCTGCACCCTGCTCTAAAAGAACTGTTTACATTTCTGAGTTCCAGCCTCGAAGCCGAAACATCTAGATATGAGGACCTGTGGCTCCAAACTCCTGCCTTGACAGGGAGGGTATTTTTAACTTAGTAGTACAATGACTCCTGTCAGAGTCTTCTGGTCAAAAAAGGGAGGGGGGTCTGAGTTTTCATCAGGACCATCCGATCTCTGGATTGACAGCTGATCTGGATTCTACAGGTATTTAAGACGAGGGTTTGCGTTGCTGAGGGGCCTCTGCCAACACCGTGGATTAGGTCTTGCCAGAGTGGACTGCATTCCTAAATACGTAATGATTCCTAAATGAAGAATAAGTGCACTATTTTTAATGAGCATTGGTTTGTCTGTTCCCTTCTGTAAAACAAATACTGAAATTGCCACTTGCTTGAAAATTTGTGCAGTGTGGTTTTCTTTCAATAAACAGTTTAAACTTTGGAACAGGTTTCTCTCTCTCCCTCTCTCAAACTGCACGGTTCCTGCCAGTTTCAAAAAAAACCCACCCCACCCCCCATTGAGCTGGGTTGGGACGGGATTCCTGGGAAAAGCTCCTGAGCTCTTGATCCATGTTCCCTCTAAGCCAGTGATGGCGAACCTTTTAGAGACCGAGTGCCCAAACTGCGACCCAAAACCCACTTATTGATCGCAAAGTGCCCACCCGGCAATTGAACCTGAATACTGAGGTTTTACTTTAGAAAAAACAACTCCTACATTAACTTAAGATGATCCAAACAAAGTAAGGAAAGCAATCCCAAATGCTTTCATTTACTTAAAATTATTTGGCAGAGAATTCAACACTTTAATGATGGTCTGGGCCTGGCTGGGGCAATGGCACGCGTGTCCACAGAAAGGGCTCTGAGTGCCACCTCTGGCACCCGTGCCATAGGTTCACCACCACTGCTCTAAGCTGTGGAGCCCTATGAGCAACAATTCTACTTTGTGAGCTACTGGCATTAAAGTTGTGAGCGAGCGATTTGGCTGCTGCATAAATGAATTTGCTCTGGAGCCCTCCTCCCTGAGCAAAGACAAAAATGTGTGAGCTGGAGACTAAAAAACTGAGAGCTGGCTCACACGAACTCAGCTTAGAGGGAACACTGCAGTCGTGATTCCCCCCAACAAGAAGCACAGACAGAAGGCACAGGGCAGGTAAGCATCCGCTCCAGCAAGTGGGTGCTCTAGCTGCATCTCCCCCGCCGCCCGTCCCACTAAAATAACACCTTTGCAGCAACGGTTTGGACACCCTGCACCCACAGCCGAGAGCCTGATCAGGTATCTGTTTCCCCGCCGGCATTTGAAGGCTCGCGCTGTTACCTGACACAGATTCTGCAGCTTCTTGGTTGGCCGTCCGACGATGTAGATCTGCGTGGGCGGCAGGTTGATGGAGGTGTAGACAGAGACGTCCTTGGTGGACCCGTAGGCCGCGTGGATCTTCATGTGGACCTGCGGGGAGTCAAAAGCGGAGCGGTGCCAAACAGAACAAGCAATGGACGCTTTGGAATCGCAACGTCCTCTTGGCTTTTGCTCAAGGACAGTGTAATGCGCTGCACTTGGCGGTCCGGTTTGCACCGAGGGTGGAACGTTAAAACATCTCAGACTGATTTCTGAACCAAAGCTAAGTTCCCTGACAGATTTAACAGCACTGTGTGTGTTAGACATGCAAGGGAAGAAGAAGAAGAAGATTGGATTTATACCCTGCCCTTCACTACCCAAAGGTGTCTCAGAGCGGCTTACGGTCTCCTTTCCCTTCCCCTCCCCACAACAGACACCCTCTGAGGTAGGCGGGGCTAGGAGAGCTCTTAACAGAAACTGCTCTTCTTCAAGAACAGCTCTGAAAGAACTATGGCCTGCCCAAGGTCATCCAGCAGCTGCAAGTGGAGGAGTGGGGGAATCAAACCCGGTTCGCCCAGATTAGGGTCTGCACACTTAACCACTACACCAAACTGGCTCTCGACATGCAAGGATCATCTGAGACCACTTTGTTTTCTTGGCTGGATAATATTTAGCCATTTGAATGTTTATATCTCACACGAACACATGAAGGGACCTTACTCTAGCCCTGTGAAGATGACCCACCTGCACACTGACTCACTGCAGGAGTCAACATACAGAGCGGTCCTCTCTGCGCAGGGTCCCTGAGTCAGGTCACTAGTCTGTCAAGGTCAAGATTGTCTACTCTGACTGGCTGTGGCCATCCCGGTCTTGGGCAGTGTGTGTGTGGGGGGAGGTATTTGTGAATTCCCTGCATTGTGCAGGGGGTTGGACTAGATGACCCTGGAGGTCCCGTCCAACTCTACGATTCTATGATTCTGTGACTCACCATGTGTAATCCACCTTGAGTCCCTGTGAAGCAGGTGGACTATCTCTCCTTATATATAATTGAATAGTGGGTGCCAAAGTTCTAATTCTAAAATGCACTCCCTTAGTGTATGGCTGATGGCACTGCTCCTCAGCATATATCGCCACCAATCAGAAGGCAAAGCCCGGGTCCCGCCCACACCACAACTGCTGCGACAACCTGGTCTTTTGCATATGGAAGCTGACTGGACTTCACTCCATTCCACACCTCAAACTCCCCCCCCCCTGCAAGGCAGTTGGAATGTCAGTTGCATATGGAACCTGCTGTATTCTGGTGGTGTGCAGGTCCCAGATTCATGTTTTAAAAGCAGACTGACACTGTTTGCCCAAAGCCAGAGCACTCTCCCAGAGCCTCTTTCTAGATCCCGTTGTATTTATTTCCACAACGGGCCTTATTTCTAGTAAATAACATAAAACGAATGGATGGGTGGGTGGGTGGATGGATGGAATAAAGCCCAACAAGAGGTCCAGGGTATACGCTTTTGAGAGTCAAAAAACCTCTACCCTGGAAATCTTGTTGGTCTCCGGGTGCTAGTGGATTTGAACCCTGCTCTGCCCAGGCCATGGAAAGCAAAGGACGTGCCACCGTGTTTCCTTCTGCAAGAGGATGATGTGTTATTTCAAGATAACCTGCCTTGTTGTCCCCTCTCAAGTCATAAGGAACCAGCCCATACATATTTCCACCTGTGACTCCGACTGCGGCCCGGGTCTGCAGGCAACTGTGTCCAGCTCTGGAGAAACGCTGCCTGCCCAGATGCACCCGGGGGCCCTTTCGGAGTTCTGTCTTTGCCTCCCGCTCCAGCTCTCCCCCGCTTACGTCCATGATGAGAGACTTCAGGAAGTTGGCCTTGTGCCGCAGCGGGTCGTGCACCAGCCCGTCGCAAAAGGAGACGATCCCGTGAGGAAAGTTGTGCTGTGCTAACCAGGCCACCACCCTCTGCTTTTGCATGTCGGGACGGCCGGTGACATAGATGATGAGGTAGCCGAGATCTTGCCAGTGCCTGAGGAAGGAGAAAGAAGGGGTGGGGTGAACTGGCATGAGACAGAACACAGCAGACTCGTGCCCTTGCATTTGGGGATGGGGGCCTTGGACGAGTGTCTGCCTGTTTCACTGATATATATACAGCCATTGAGGTTGGAAAGGATCACAGGGGTCTGTGGCTCAGAGGAAAAGCCTCTGCTTGGCACGCAGAAGGTCCCCGGTTCAATCCTCAGCATCTCCCGTTAAAAGGACCAGGCAGGAGGTGATGTGGAAGACCTCGGTCTTCCAATTGGTTAAGCTCTGTCTGCCTTTTCACTCCTAGAGACTTGGTTGCGTGGCTTTTTGGCTTGTCTGCTGGATCTCCCCGCCCGGCCCCTCCAGCACAGTATTTCTGCTGGGCTCTGTCTTTTGACAGTACTCTCAGTCTGCCTGGTGGACCCCTTTCTCTTGAGCTGGATGGACTCTTGCCCAGGGTCAAAGCTGACCTTAAAACTGCAGAAAGACCCCAATCCCAAGTCTCATACTGAAGGATCAGCACTCTCTCCCATTCTCTGTACAGACATACTCTTCAGGGGATATGGAATTCTGAGCTTAACATCCCCAAATCTGCCATTTCACAACTCAAATCCCGTTAACAGCATTGAGTACAGAATCCCGTTAACAGCATTGAGTACAGATTTTTTTTTTTAAGATAGCAGTGATAGTCGTTCAGAAGAAGAGGAGGAGGAGGAGGAGGAGGAAGAGGAGGAGGAGATTGGAGTTATACCCCGCCCTTCACTACCCAAAGGAGTCTCAGAGCAGCTTACAAACTCCTTTCCCTCCCCCTCCCACAACAGACACCCGGTGAGGTAAGTGGGGCTGAGAGAGCTCTTGACAGAAACTGCTCTTTTTTCAAGGACAGCTCTTATCAGAACGATGGCTTGGCCAAGGTCATCCAGCAGGTGCAAGTGGAGGAAGTGGGGAATCAAACCCGGTTCTCCCAGATTATATATGCACACACACACACACACACAAGGACCAATGGACTTAACCTGACGCGTTTCGGCCTGTCAGGGCCTTCTTCAGAGGTCAAACACAACGAGGAACAAATTGGCTTATACCACAATACATGATACAGTACAATTACACAGCATAGATACTAAATGAACCAGAAAGGAATAGTTCCAGAGTGGAATTACTAGGCACAGAATGAAAGTACAAATGAGGCCTCCCAAGATCCAATCATGTGCCAAACAATACTCCCTCTAAGCTGTGGGGTCTTGTGAGCAAAAATTCTACCTTTTGAGCTACTGGCATTAAAGTTGTGAGCCAGCCATTTGGCGACTGCATAAATTAGTTTGCTTTGGAGCCATCCTTCCTGAGCGGAGACAAAAAAGTGTGAGCCGGAGGCTAAAAACTGTGACCTAGCTCACACTAACTCAGCTTAGAGGGAATACTGATGCCAAATGATATTTCACTGATATTAATTTCTGGTCCAGAAGAAGAAGAAGAAGAGATTGGATTTATACCCCGCCCTTCACTTGGAGTCTCAGAGCGGCTTACAAACTCCTTCTCCTTCCCCTCCCCACAACAGACACCCTGTGAGGTGGGTGGGGCTGAGAGAACTCTGACAGAAACTGCTCTTTCAGGAACAGCTGTGCCAGAGCTTGTGACTGACCCAAGGTCACATCGGCAGGTGCAAGTGGAGGAGTGGGGAATCAAACCCAGTTCTCCCAGATTAGAGTCCGCACACTTAACTGGTCCAGAAGGTGCCTTTCAAGAGCTGTTCAATCCAAGCCAAACTGTCCTCAACAAGATTGTCCTTTTAGCAAAGAGCAGTCAATTATTTACACATTAAGTTTTAATGGTTAGCCCCCTACTCAGTTGGACTTACCTTTCCCCGATTTATTTATTGTCCTTCCTGCTTTTGCAACCGGAGTCATAAACAGCAGCCCCTCATCCCACAATAAACCTCGTTCCACAGGAAGAAATGGAAGGATTTAAAGGTGGCTACTGCAAAAGTTGTCCTACCTTTTCAGGTGCTTGATCCTGCTAGGCCACACCCTCCTTTCCCCAATCAACTGTTCTATTTTCTATGTTCTTAGCAAAAATTGCCAAGATATGTTTGGGTTTTTCTCTGCAGTCCTAAGGGCTAGAAACTTGAAAGAGGATGGAGGCTTTTATGATTCTATGTACGCATGATTCGATGTGACGGTCACCTTGAGACTTGACTACTGCAACACTCTCTACATGGGGTGACCCTTGTCCCAAATCCGGAAGCTGCAGCTGGCGTAGAATGCCGCAGCCAGGCTGCTGATGGATCTCCCACGTTGGGAGCACATCAAGCCAGTGCTTAGGTCACTGCACTGGCTGCCAATAGCATACCGGATTCGTTTCAAGGTGCTGGTGCTTACCTTTAAAGCCCTACATGACCAGGGACCGACCTACCTGAGGGACCACCTTTCCCCATATGTACCCCAGAGAGCACTACGGTCAGGGGCCCAACATCGTTTGACTATTCCGGGCCCCAAGGATGCAAGGCTCGCCAGTACCAGGACCAGAGCCTTTTCTGTGGCGGCTCCCTACTGGTGAAACGAGTTCCCAGAGGAGATCCGGGCCCTGCGGGACCTTGTACAGTTCCGCAGGGCCTGTAAAATGGAGCTCTTCCACCAGGCTTTTAAATAGGAGCCGCCACTACTGTTACCATCAATGATCCTACTGAACCTCTGGATCCTAGGTCTGGCCCAGTTGTATCGCTAGGCCCATCGGCTCGAGGGAGGATGATTGGACGAACAAGGTGGATTTAGATCTGGAAAGCACGCCATCTAATCTTTAGTACTGCAAGCACTTCATTGCTAGCTGTTAATTTATGTCATGAATGAGTATGTGTTTTATGTTGTTTTGAAAATGTTATGGTTATGCCAATTAGGTACATTGTACCGCTTTGTTGGCTCAAGTGGTTAAGATGCTGAACTGCAGGCTGTGGAAGGTCGGTAGTTCAGCAGTTTGAGACTCGAGTGTGCCACATGATGGAGTGAGCTCCCGTCTCTAGTTCCAGCTCCTGCCAACCTAGCCGTTCGAAAGCAAGAAACTGCAAGTAGATAAATAGGTACCACTTCGGTGGGAAGGTAACAGCGTTCCGTGTGCCTTGGTGTTTATTCATGCCGGCCACATAACCACGGGAATGTCTTCGGACAGCGCTGGCTCTTCGGCTTGGAAACGGAGGTGAGCACCGCAAACCTAGAGTCGGACTCGACTGGCTTTCGAGCAAGGGAACCGTTACCTTTACTGCTTTGTTAGCCGCCCTGAGCCTGTTCACAGGATGGGCGGGGCAATAAATATAATAAAACAAACAAATAAATAACTTGTACGATGATGGGGGTCAGCACTCCATAGACACGATTCCAGACACCAGCATTTCCCAAGTCCCCCGTACCTGACTACGTCAACTGCTCCAGCTCGAACTTTAGGGTCACTGCCCATGATGGAAACACTGGCTGCAAAGGACCCGTCAATGCTGAAGACCACAAATTCGGTCCCTTTGGGCAGAATGGTGATATAGCTGTCGGCAAGCGTGTGGTCGCCCCTAAAGAGAATGGAAAAGGAATGGATGGTCTCGCTGGGGAAGGTCAGGAGAAAACTGCCTCCGCAATAAATAAGACTTTAGAAATGCCTCTTCTCTGACCTGGATAGCCCAGGTCCCCCCTGTCTTGTCAGATCTCAGAAGCTAAGCAGGGTCGGCCCTGGCCAGCATTTGGAGGGGAGACCTCCAAGGAATCCTGTGATGGTGACTTGGGAGCAGGCGATGGCAAACCACCCTTGAACGTCTCTGGCCTTGGAAACCCTATGGCAGGGGTGTCAAACATGCGGCCCGGGGGCCGGATGAGGCCCCCGGAGGGCTTCTATCAGGCCCCGCAGTGGAACTTCTTCTGTCTTCTGCTTCTTCTTCCAGTTCTGCTGCTGCTGCGTCATCGTAGGTTTGCAGCTTACAGAGACACACCTGAGCAGCATACTCAAGATTGCAACAGCACAGACATTTTGATGTAATAATTCAGAGCAAGAGGTGTCCGTTATCAGACACTGTTAATTAAACAAAATATTGCAAGAGTGCTAATGTTTGAAGCATTTTATTTTAAGTTAAAAAACCCCACCTTTGTGTTTGTGTCTTTTATAAAGTTTATATCTCCGCTACCTGGCATTACATTTTATGACACACATGGCCCGGCCCAACAAGGTCTCATTTATGTCAGGTCCGGCCCTCATAACAAATGAGCTCGACACCCCAGCCCTATGGGGTCGTCATAAATCAACTGTGACTTGACAGCACTTTCCACCACCAAAAAGGCCTCTCGACTGAGACTCAGGGCATAATTCTTACCATTTGTCCCAGCCTCAATGAGGGTGTGGACAAATGCACCTTGAAACAGGAGTGTGTGTGTGTGTGTGTGTGTGTGTGTGTGTGTGTGTGTTCCGGAGAGGGCTCTAGTTTCCCCCACCATGACATTTACAATCTCTTGCCAAAGATTCGCATGTGCTATTCATTCTTTTGCATTTCAAACAGATTTTATTGAGCTTAATTTTTTTAAAAAAGACTTCCTATTGACAGCTACAGTCTGATTTGGTGGTATCGAGGTGGTGTATCTCTTGTTATCGCAATTATTTTTTGCTTTTGCCCTTTGCAAAACGGAAGGTGATGAGGTGACTCTGTGATTGGCACCAGGACCTGTTAATCAGCACCATGCCGCTCCAGCTTCCGCTGCAACTGAAAAAAATCAGGTGGGTCACCATGTTGGCAGGGGCGGATTCAGGCTCACGGGGGGTGCCCTCAGCACTAACCAATCTTGGTGCCCCCCCCTCCTTTCCACACTGACCCGGTCCATTTTAGTGGCTGACCTGTCTGACCAGATATACAATGCAAATTGCAGCAATACAAAAATTTATTCATAGGATAACACAATAGACTGCACAAACTAAGCCGAGCTTGGGCAACATAAAGTTCTACAAAAATGCAATACGACATCTGTTTTAATATTTCACACGTTTTCACCCTTTCCCCACCTTTGTGGTGCCCCCTTTGGCCCTGGTGCCCTAAGCACGTGCCTTAGTCTGCTTCGTGGTTAATCCGCCCCTGCAGGTTGGTCTGAAGCAGCAGAACGATGTCTGAGTCCTGTAGGGACACCTTTAAGACCAACAATGTTTGATTCTGGGCGTAAGCTTTCATGTGCAGGCACACTTCTTCAGATGCACAGACTATTCCAACCATTAAATATAGGGGGGGAGGCGCTAGTTCCGCAGGGCCTGAAAACGGAGCTCTTCCGCCAGGCTTTTGAGTAGGAGCCGCCGCCACCATTATTCCACCAACTTCCACCAACACCTTTTCATCACCGCACTCTACTACCGCAGGTACGGGAATCATCGAGGGTGCGGGGATGTCCCTAGTGGACGACAGGGTTGTGGGGACATATATTGTTGCTGTTAAGAACATAAGAACACAAGAGATGCCAATGTTGGATCAGGCCAAAGGCCCATCCAGTCCAACACTCTGTGTCACACAGTGGCCAGAAATACCAGTGCCATCAGGAGGTCCACCAGTGGGGCCAGGACATTAGAAGCCCTCCCACTGTTGACCCCCCCCCCCAAGCACCAAGATGACAGAGCATCACTTGCCCCAGAGCCCCTATCTATACCTTGTGGCTAAGAGCCACTGATGGACCTCTGCTCCATATGCTTATCTAATTCCCCTTTGAAGCCGTCCATTCTTGTAGCCACTACCACTTCCTGTGGCAGTGAATTCCAAGTGTTAATCCGTTTTGCACAGGGCAAAAACAAAAAAGTGATACCACTGGACTCAAACTTTGTTCAACTGTTGTTTAGCTAAAACATCTTCAGAACACCATCTTGGTTTTATGATTCAGAGTGAGTATCGGAGCGCCGAAAACTTATTTTTACTCATTTTAATTAACTTTAATACTTTTATTATTGTATTTTATACTGCTTTTATTGTTACAATTTGGCATTTTGCCCTTGCTAGCCGCCCTGAGCCTTCGGGGAGGGCGGGATACAAATCCAAAGAATAAATAAATAAATAAATAGTTGGCGAAGTCTGTTTCAAAGTATCTGAAGCAGTGTGCATGCAGACGAAAGCTTACACCCAGAATAAAACGTTGCTGGTCTTAAAGATACCACTGGACTCAAACTTTGTTCAACTGAAAAATCCAGTTTCACCTAAGCAGGTGTGGCACTGCTGGGGTGAGGGCCAATGTTCCCTCTAAGCTGTAGAGTCCTGTGAGCAAAAATTCTACTTTGTGAGCTACCGGCATTAAAGTTGTGAGCAGGTGAATTGGCTACTGAATAACTTAGTTTGCTCTGGAATCATCCTTCCTAAGCTAAGACAAAAATGTGTGAGCCGGAGGCTAAAAAACTGTGAGCTGGCTCACACTAACTCAGCTTAGAGGGAACACTGGTGAGGGCAGTTCTGGCTCACTGCTAAATCTGTGCATGTTTCGGGCGCTCCCCAGGTCACCTCCTGAATCCTGCCGGAGCTCGCTTGCGTTAACTTACCCATAGCCATTATTCACACCTACCTATTCCAAGCATTAAAAAAAAAAATTGAGAGAAGTATCTTGACCAGCCAAGAGGGGGCTGAATCGGGCCCAGCCCCCCTGGAGCGTTGAAGCGGCTGCTTTGCCATTGGCTTCCGTGTGTCTGTCAACACACTCGAGAAACAGAAGGCAAAGGCAACAGAGCAAAACAAGTGGGCAGCTGGGAAGATTCCCAAGTCTTTCCTGTTCCACTGGAGTTCATCTGCTGCATTTAGAACAAAAGGAGTTTTGTGGCATCATGACGACTAACAGATTTATTGCAGCTGAAACCTTCCTGGACTAGAGCCCACTTTGGGTATGTGATGAAGTGAACCGGCGTGCTTATATACATATATATACACACACATACAAGGAACTAAAGAGAAAAGGCCGTGGGGTTCAAAGACAACAAAATGAAAGAAGTAAAGACACTACGACGTTTTCATATAATATTCAGAACTATACAAAATAAGCGCAGGGACAATTCTCAACAGCACTAACCGGGGAATTAGAAATTCCCTAGATATGTGAGGCCAGTGATGGCGAACCTTTTAGAGACCGAGTGCGCAGGGCTCTTTTTGTAGAAAAAGCCCAGCAGGAACTCATTAGCATAATAGGCCACACCCAACAGCAGAAACTTATTAGCCTATTAGGCCACACCCCTGACAGCACAGCTTATTAGCATGTTAGGCCACACCCCCACATTACCAGAAGTGTGGTCATCCAGCCACACCCACCTTTCCCTTCTTCTTCTGTTTACCTTGTTTGTTGTCAAAACCCAGGGCTTTTTTTGTAGCAGGAACCCTTTGCATGTTAGACCACACACCCCTAATGTAGGCAATCCTAATGAGTTTCTGCTGTTGGGTGGGGCCTACTATGCTAATGAGTTCCTGCTGGGCGTGGCCAACTCAGGAGCCAGCTGGAACTCTGTTCCTGTGCGTTCCTGCCCAAAAATAGCCCAAACTGCGACCCCAAACCCACTGATTTATTGCAAAGTGCTAACAAGGCAATTTAACATGAATACTGAGGTTTTACTTTAGAAAAAACAACTCATACATTAATTTAAGATGATCCAAACAAAGTAAGGAAAGCAATTCCAAATGCTTTCATTTACTTAAAATTATTTGGCAGAGAATTCGACACTTTAATGATGGTCTGGGCCTGGCTGGGGCAATGGCACGCGTGCCCACAGAGAGGGCTCTGAGCGCCACCTCTGGCACCTGTGCCATAGGTTTGCCACCACTGTGTTAGGCTGATTTCCTTATGTTCCCTTCCTCAAGACATCCATTGGAAAAATATGTATCTATTCTGGCTGTATTCAGTCTCCTTCCAATTTCCTTCAGAGTCAAGGAGTTGTTCCACCAGTTGTATGGCTGTTAATCCATTCAGGTTTTCTGAATGTTAAGAGAGCGTCTCTCTCCAGCCGTTCACACGTAGAGAGAGCCATCACCAGTTCACCTGCAAGAGGGGTTGGGCAGTGTTCCCTCCAAGCTGAGTTAGTGTGAGCCAGCTCACAGGTTTTTAGCCTCCGGCTCGCACATTTTGGTCTCAGCTCAGGGAGGAGGGCTCCAGAGCAAACTGATTTATGCAGCAGCCAGTCGCGCGCTCACAACTTTAATGCCGGTAGTTCACCATGTAGGATTTTTGCTCACAAGACTCCACAGCTTAGAGGGAGCACTGGTTGGGGGTGGGCTATAGAATCCCACAGGTATTTCTCCCCTTCTTCCCCCATCCCAGCAAGCCAATCCTGGGTCTTAAGGGTTTGGATGGGCTGCCTTGAAGATGAGATGACGTTTGCAAACTAAGGCACTGCTATCTAATGCTCCCTCTAAGCCGTGGAGTCTGGTGAGCAAAAGCTCTACTTTGTGAGCTACTGGCATTAAAGTGAGTGAGCAATTTGGCCACTGCATAATTTAGTTCACTTTGGAGCCCTCCTTCCTGAGCTAAGGCAAAAATGTGTGAGCTAGAGGCTAAAAAACTGCCAGCTAGCTCACACGAACTCAGCTTAGAGGGAACACCGCTGCGATCCTCTATGGTTGCTCTTTGCACCAGGCTCATCCTTCTGTTTCAGTTTAAAGCTTCTCTATCTGATTTTCTGGCTTCTGCCGCTGCAGCCCTGGCTCAATTACTCTGAAGGCCCAGAACTCACCTGACCACCATTTTGACAGGATACACGCCAATCCCCAGCCGCTTATTCTCAGGGATTACGTAGGAAATCCTCCCACTGCTGTTGCTGATTTCTGTGTCAAAGTAAACCCACTCTCCTGACGGGGGCTGCGTCATGATGTGAATGTCCACCTGGATCACAAACGAGGAACGGAGCACAACAACACCGAGTCAGCAAAATGCACAGCAATTAACGATTCAGCAAAACATACTTCTGTCATTTCTCTTTACCACTCGTAAGAACATCAGAAGAGCCCTGCTGATCAGACCGCTGGACCATCCACTCCGGCATCCTGTCTCACACAGTGGCCAACCGGTTCCTCTGGACGGCAAACAACAGGGCAGGGAGGCCGAGGCCTTCCCCTGATGTTGCCTCCCGGCTCTGGGATCCAGAGGTTTAGTGCCTCTGAATGTGGAGGTTCTCCTCAGTCACCATGACTAGTGGCCATTGCTAGATTTATCCTCCATAAGTCTATCTAATCCCCTTGTGGAGCTGTTTATTCCTGTGGCCATCACTACATCCTCTGGCCGCGAATTCCACATTTTAGTCACCCTCTGTATAAAGTAGTATTTCCTTTTGAATGTCCTGAACCTACTGCCCGTCAGCTTCATTGGATGCCCTCGAGTTCGAGTATTCTGGGAGAGGAGGAAGAAGTTCTTTGTCAACTATCTCCACCTGTGCATGATTTTATAAACCCCCATCATGTCTCCCCCCCCCCCCAGTCATCTCTTTTCCAAACTGAACAGTCCCGGATTCTTCAACCTTTCCTCATAGGGAAGGTGCTCCAACCCCCTAATCATCTCGGTTGCCCTCCTCTGCACTCTCCTTTTCTGCGTCCCCCCAGCGCTTCCTTTGCCCTCTTTGAGAAGGCCACAGACAAGTGTTCCAGTTCACCCCTCGGCATCTCCGGTTAGAAAAAGCTCTAATAACCAGCCTCTCTGTACCAGAGACCTTGGAGAGCCTCTGCTGGTCTGGCCAGAACAGAAAATGTGGGGCTTGGTGGATTATTGGTCTGACTCAGAAGTTTCACAAGTCTCTCGTATGCTTGGCATTTAGGTTAGAAGCTTCTCAGGGGAGGGATAGGCCTTTGTTAGTTATGCTGCTTTGCAGAGCGAATGCTGACGGTTCAATGACACAACGAAGAATCTCTCCCCAGATCAGATGAAGGATTCGTTCCAGGTACCCTGAAACTCAGAGGGGATAACATATGCCATCCTCATTCTTGTTAAAGACAGTGCAAAAGGCAGACAACTCTTTTTTTTTTTTTTTTGTATTTGTGTGTGGGACCGATTTCCCATAAGCAGCTGCACCACCCTCGCTCTTCCCTTTCCCCCGATTGCATTTGTCCATTTCCCACTACTTGCTGTGCGGCCGCATTTTGACCTGCAGCACCTTCCAATTTCCCCTGCGTCTTCTCGATCTCAAGAAACAAGGATCAAGATGATGCAGGGGAAATCGGGGGATGCTGCAGGTCAAAATGCAGCCGCACAGCAAGTAGTAAGAAACTGAAGAATACAATCGCGCGAGGGTGGCGCAGCTGCTTGTGGGATACAGGTCTTGTGTCTTTCTGTTTTGCTCCCTCTAGTGGTCGATTATATCACACAGGTTTGCGTCCGGCATAAAAACCTGCAGTTTAAATCTGCAGGGCAATATGCTGGACATAAACCCATTTAATATAATCAGCCACTAGAGGGATCAAAACAGAGGCCACCCCCCCAAAAAAAACAACAAAAAACAAACAAACACCCAGGTACTTACAAGTGAGGAAAATGTGAATGCGGAAAAGCTCACCATTACTTGGTAAGCAGAATGTTATCTAGTTCGAAAACATAGAGAAGCCATGACCTTCTTGGCTCCTGCCTCTGGGGGCTGATCTGACCTCAGGCAGCTGATGAATGATGATAATGTCGATCAGCTGCTCAGCTTTAAACAGCTGTTTAGCAAAGATCACGTGAGGTGTGCCATTACTACAATATTATTTGATCCAGACTTGAAAGTAGGTGAAAGTAGGACTGACGACATTGATAAGATGCAACACCCACGGCACATGTTGTCCTAAAAACCTGTGATGGCGACTGTACAGTGCCGATTCTCTTGTGCCTTACGCAACTAGATCTCTACGCACCTTCTCCCCTGTGAGCGTGACCATGTCTAAGGGCCCGTACATAAACCTTCCGTTTAACACCTGGAGACCATCCTCATTGGCAATGGCATCGTTTATTCGGTGGTTGGCTGTGACATTCTGCAACAAGAAAGAAAAGCGAGTTGGGATCAGTGTTCCCTCTAAGCTGAGTTAGTGTGAGCTAGCTCACAGTTTTTTAGCCCCCAGCTCACACATTTTTGTCTTGGCTCAGGAAGGATGGCTCCAGAGCAAACTAATTTTATGCAGCAGCCAAACTACCAGCTCACAACTTTAATGCCAGTAGCTCACAAAGTAGAATTTCTGCTCCCAGGACTCCACAGCTTAGAGGGAACATTGGTTGGGATGCCCGAGGTGCAACAACATGCAGGAAGATTAAATGGGGTTGTTATGTACGTGGACCGCCACCAGGGGTCCGCGGCTAAAGCAGGAGCTTGGTCCCCAAACACAATGGGTATCTAGGATCCTAGTCCACCGGGAGTCCACCAATAGCACCCTTGGCGGGAAATTCAAACCCTCCAATGGGGACAGAGGTGTGCCGGGTGGAGTGTATATAGTTGGCCTTGCAGGGTCGTTTTGGGTGTCTTGTTGTGAAGTACAATAAACGCGTCTGACCGCATGTTGTAGTCCGAGTTCTCCATGCATCGAACCCAGTACTTTTCAGGATGGTGGTGGTGGACCGAAGGACCTTTTTTATTTAAAATATTTAGATCCTGCCTTTCCACAATGCCCAAGGCAGCTTACAAAATATAAATACACCACTAAAAACATGATAAAAGACATGACTTTATATAAAAACATCATGTTAAAACACCAGTGTCGTTACTACAAGCTGCCAGAGATGTTTGTTAGTTATTCCCACTAAAGGCACCCCAAAAACAATTCTGCTTTGCACCTTTTACAGTATGAAGCAGAGAGTGTGGCTCAGTGGGGAGGGAGTGTGGCTCAGTGGCAGAGACTCTGCTTGGCATGCAGAAGGTCCCAGGTTCAATCCCCGGCATCTCCAAGCAAGTGATGGGAAAGACCTCTGCTTGAGACCCTGGAAAGCCGCCGCCAGTCTGAGTAGACGATACTGACTCTGATGGACTGACGGTCTGATTCAGGATAAGACGGTTTCATGTATTCATGTATTCATGTGTAGATGCTCTCTGTTTCTTATCTGGGAGGCTGTTTCCTAGTGGGGGTGAAGCCACTGAAAACAACAAGCACACACAGGCTGCAGCTGCTCCCAAATAGAAGGGAATGTCCAGGGGTCATTTCCTGCAGGAGCGCACAGGAGCGGACCTCCGGCAGTAAAGAGCCCAGGGGGTGGGCACATGCAACAAGCCCCACCCCCTGCTCCCAGCAGCCCTCAGTCAGAGCAAGAAGCAGCCAGGGAAGTCCAGTGGCACCTTTGAGACCAAGTTTTATTCAGGTACAAGCTCTCCCTCCTCTGTGAGGACAGATCTGCGTGTTCCCCCCACCCCCCAGTAGCTAGCAATCCAAAACAGTCCAGTGAAGCCTGAGCGGTGGGTGTTGCCTTCTGACACACTTCTGGTGGTGTCAAGGGGTGTGGCACGTGCAAATAAATTATGCTAATGAGTTATGCTAATGAGCTCCTGCACCTCTTTTTCTACGAAATGACCCCTGGGAATGTTAGAAGTGAGGCGCCTGATGACATTCGTGGGCGCATGGGATCATACGTGGAAAACCAGTCCCACTAGATACACAGGTCCCCAGCCATGAAGAAGATTGGATTTATGCCCCACCCATCACTCAGAGTCTCAGAGCGGCTTACAAACTCCTTTCCCTTCTCCTCCCCACAACAGACACCCTGTGAGGTAGGCGGGGCTGAGAGAGCTCTGACAGAAACGGCTCTTTCAAGAACAGCTCTGATAGAACTATGGCTTGCCTAAGGTCATCCAGCAGCTGCATGTGGAGGAGTAGGGAATCAAACCCGGTTCTCCCAGATTAGAGCCCGCACACTTAACCACTACACCAAACTAAAGATACCAACTGACACCTTGAATTGTGTCCAGAAACAAACAGGTAACCAATGAAGCTGCTGAAGTACAGGTGGTTATATGATCATATGGGCATAAGCCAGTCAGTAACTTAGAGGCAGGATTCTGTACCCATCAAAGTTTCGGAACAGTTTCCAGGGGCAGCCCCACACACAACACATTACAGTAATCTAGCCTTGAGGTCACAGTGGCATGGATCGTCAGGGCAAGGTCAGCTTCCATTCCCTCGGGGATTTAGATTCTAGAGATGCTGGGGAGGGAGCCGAGCTCTTAAGAATGAGAAACAACTTGCACTCCAAAACAGCGATAAGGCAACCCCCCACCCCCCCGACCAAACAGAAACAAGAGGGGGACGGTGAATCACCAGGGACAGCCACCAGGAAACAGGGTTTCTCCTAGGGCGTGGTGGTGGAAAGTGACGTCAAGTCATAGCTGAGGTGCTATGTCGCTGCCTGCCTCCACGCCACGACCCTGGACTTCCTTGGAGGTCTCCCACCCACATACTAGCCATGGCCAACCCTCCTAGGGTGTGTGTGATAGATAGTAGTAGTCAGGGGTCATTTCGTAGAAAAAGAGCTAGGGGAACTCATTAGCATAACTCATTAGCATATGCCACACCCCCTGACATCAGGGGCCCGGCGGTGGACCTGCAAGGCCGGCGGGAGTGCGAGGAAGCCCCGCCAAGGCCCTCCCTGGCCCCAGGCAGGCAGGGGTGGGGAGAGGCGGGGAGGAAGCAACCTACCCTCCCTCTTCTCCTGCCTCCTCCTGGCTGAATGAGGGCCGGAAGCGGGGCGGCCGGAAGCAAGGGGCGGGGCTTCGTCATGTGCCCCGCCCCCCATACCTCACCCGGGGAACTGCGTTCCCCCGCGTTCCCCCACGAAATGACCTCTGGTAGTAGTAGAAGAAGAAATGTGGGCATTACCCTTAGCTTCACATGGGTCCTCTTACGAAGCCACTTCTCCCTGGGCTTGGAAGGGGTGAAGACAGAGACCTCCTTCCCGTCCAGCTCCAGAACACTGGAGTTTTCGTGCCTCATCACCTGAGGGAAAAGAGCAGCCCCATCAGCAGTTGTCACAGCAAACACCGGTAAGAAGACTCTCCACAGAGTCCACAAAGGACTTCTTTGAATCGGAGGATGTCAGACGAGTTTCTGAGCTGCCCTGGCCAGAGTTTCCATGTGACAGTTGGAAAGCGACAATAAACCAACCCCCCCCCCCCCGGCCCAACTGTAAAACGGTTCAGAGCTCTGGTACAAAAAGATTTAGAGCTGATATTCTGCTTTTCACACATGCAGACCAGCGGCAGGAGAAGGGCTGAAAGGGGCTTTAAGGGACCCCTTGCTTGTAACTTTTGACAAAAGCTTCTGAGACAAAGTTCTTCTGGCTTCAGACCCTTTCCCCTTATTGATGTAACTAACCACATCAGTCAAAAGCTAACCTCAGTGGCTCTTCTGATGCTCAGGCTCTTTGGTGCAGGGGTCCCCAACAGGCCCACGGACACCTCTCCTGGTGCCCACTGTTTTTAGAATGCAGTTGCCAGGTTCCTTTGATTCGCTGGCGGGGGGACGGGGGGGATGCTCCAGGAGCCGGAGGTGTCATCCCTGATGTGCCGACATCACCAGAAGGGGTGTACCCGGGTGACATAGGCACATTGGGGGCGACACTCTGGTTTTGGGGCAAAACTCCATGGTAAAACTGACTTCAAACCATAGAGTTTCACCCAAAAACTAGAGCGTCACCCCACCCCCCAACGTCATCAGGTGACATGGACATGTTGTTCCACGTACTCTTCGGGGAGGGGGAGGATTTCCTCCCACTGGCTAGTGGCGCGGAGAAGCCCACAAAAGTGAGGGGTCCCCTCCACCAACTGGGGACTGGCAGCCCTGTTTTAGAAAGTGGGCATGGCCAGGTGGGATTTTGGCCCAGCAAGGGTTCTGATTGGCCAATGGGGATCGGATGGCCATGCAGATTCTTTTTTTTTTTTTAAAGCATTGCTTTGGCAGCAGTTGCCACCACAGCACAAGGCTCTTCAATGTGGCAGCCATTTTTGGGCTGGCTCCGCGTCCTGCAGCAGCCATTTTGGGGCTGTGCCCACCATGCTATGTCAAAATTCTAATGGTGCCCACAGGCTTAAAAGGTTGGGGACCCCTACTCTAGAGAAACAGACACATACCAGAAACAGTCACTGAGAAGGCCTCTCTGTAGTCCCTTGGACAGTGAACGTGTTGTCGTCAGTGTTCCCTCTAAGCGGAATTAGTGTGAGCTAGTTCACAGTTTTTTAGCCTCCGGCTCACCCATTTTTGTCTTCGCTCCGGAAGGCAGCAGCCAAATCGCTCGCTCGCAACTTTAATGCCAGTGGCTCACAAAGTAGAATTTTTGCTCACAAGACTCCACAGCTTAGAGGGAACATTGGTTTTCGTGTTTGTAGTAAACACTGGAGGGCCCTCTGCATCTATATACAAGTGCACACTGGGCATCACTCGATTATCACCCCATAATGGATACAGTGGCCTCTGTTGAACTCCCTATTCAGGGCACGAACAGCAGCAAAAGGTAGGGATTTAATGAACTAAGGATTGGGGGGGGTTGGTAACACTCCCTGCACTAGCCAATAGACACCCGTCCTACTCAGCTTTTTTCATGATTTGCTAGAAACCTGTAGAACTGTTTTCCTGTCTTTTCCATAGCTTACTCCACGAAAGAAAAATGGATGTGTTCTTTTGGGGCGCTGAAGGTGTACTGTGGTCACCTCCTCCACACCTCCGGTTCGGCTTCCGCACGCCTGCTTGCCTCACGCTGTCAAGTTTTCTATCTTTCCCATCCTTCTCTATCTAACCCGGCTGCACTGGCTTCGCAGCATGGTTCCTTTCTTCGTGAGTGTACGATCATCACCTCCCCGGCTCCGACGGGAATTCTTATTTAGCTCTGCAGCAGGAGCCGCATCCCGGGAAGCCTTAAGATCCCAGCAGGTTCACCAATTTAACTGAAGTCAACTCCGTTTCCCGCGCACTGCATGCTCCTGTAACAATGTTATTTCACCAGCTGAGATACCCTCCCACCGCTTCCTCTGCCTCTATTGCACTGAGGATAGCTAGAGTCGAGGAAATGACCCTGGAAGGTCCAAACTCCTCAACAAGCAAGGATTCTGCGACTGGCACAAATTATACAAAAGTAGGGTTTTTTGGTGCATGTAAATTATCTGCTTTGCTTTAGAAGAAGAAGAGATTGGATTTATACCCCGCCATTCACTACCCAAAGGAGTCTCCGAGCGGCTTACAAACTCCTTTCCCTTCCCCTCCCCACAACAGACACCCTCTGCATCTATATACAAGTGCACACTGGGCATCACTCGATTATCACCCCATAATGGATACAGTGGCCTCTGTTGAACTCCCTATTCAGGGCACGAACAGCAGCAAAAGGTAGGGATTTAATGAACTAAGGATTGGGGGGGGGGTTTGGTAACACTCTCAGTCGGTGGGGCTGAGAGAGCTCTTGACAGAAACTGCTCTTTTTCAAGAACAGTTGTGCCAGAATTATGGCTTGCCCAAGGTCATCCAGCCAGGTGCGAGTGGAGGAGTGGGGAATCAAACCCGGTTCTCCCAGATTAGAGTCCGCGCACTTAGCCACTACACCGAACTGTCTCTTTTAGATAGGCAACGTTGCATTTTTATTTTTTGTTCTGATATTTTTATTGGTTATGATCGGGGGGGGGGAGACTAACGTAAAACGGGGAGGGTTATGTAGGCAAGGACATGGAGAACTGTTATGTCTGACCACTGGAGGAACTATGCACGGCTCCACTAATAATCTGTCATAGCCTTGCCTGCTCAGTTTCATCTTTCTCCTCTGCCATCGTGAGGACTAGAAATCTGAACCTTTGCAATCTCCCTTTTTTAAAAAACCAAAAAACAGCAGTGATAATTAATGCCCTCCGGATTCTGCTCCAGACATTTCCAAAAAGAACTCTTGTCTATTAGTTGCTGTAGATTTCCCGGGCTGTGTGGCCGTGGCCTTGGCATTGTAGGACCTGACGTTTCGCCAGCAGCTGTGACTGGCATCCTCATAGGTATAACACAGAAAGATGGAGTACCCTCTGTGTCAAGGTGAGAAGAAAAATGGCAGGCAGGTAATTCATATCTACTCAGGAAGGTGGGGTAGGGCTGAGTCCAGTGTTCCCTCTAAGCTGAGTTAGTGTGAGCTAGCTCACAGTTTCGTAGCCTCCGGGTCATGCATTTTTGTCTTGGCTCAGGAAGGATGGCTCCAAAGCAAACTAATTTATGCAGCAGCCAACTCACAACTTTAATGTCAGTAGCTCACAAAGTAGAATTTTTGCTCACAAGATTCCACCGCTTAGAGGGAGCATTGGCTGAGTCATTAATGACTTCCTGAGTAGATATGAATTACCTGCCTACCATTTTTCTTCTCACCTTGACACATAGAGAGTACTCCCTCTTTCTGTGTTATACCTCTGAGGGTGCCAGTCACAGCTGCTGGCGAAACGTCAGGTCCTACAGTGCCAAGACCACGGCCATGCAGCCCAGGAAATCTACAACAACGAATGAACTCCGGCTCTGAAGGCCTTCGACAACATAACTCTTGTCTAGTTCCACCTTGAATTCCCTCTGCAGATTAATACCAGTGTTTCGTTTCAAGCTGCATTCTGCGCTCTGAGACCCGCAAGGTACACGTGGACTGACCTGTCTGAGCAGGAAGGAGACCACGTCTGTCGATTCCCAATAGCTTGCGTGGAAGAGGTGCGGTAAGGCGACTGTGGGGAAGGCGGTTAGTGCATCAGGGCAGTAGAGAGCGTAGTCTATCCTTTTAGTCCCCCACCACTTGGCAGCAACTGAAAGCAGAAGATGGCAAAACTCCCAAGTTTTTTTTTTAAAGAGAAGAATAATAGCCCATTAAAGTCCACTTCAGAAGCCAAGAGCCCAGCTCCTCCATTAAAAGCATTTAAAGAATCCTTTCCTCAAGCAACTCTTCATTGCAGATGTCATTTTTTTTATACCAATTGTGGCTTCCCCAGTGAATAAACCTTGGGAACTTTAGTTTGTTGAGAACTCTGTTAGAGACGTCCTACAGAATGATAAAAGGGTTGGAACACTTTCCCTGTGAAGAAAGGTTAAAAGCGCTTGGGGCTCTTTAGCTTGGAGAAATGACAGCTGAGGGGTGACATAATTGAGGTTTATAGGATTATGCATGGGACAGAGCAGGTAGAGAAAGAGGTCCTTTCCTCCCTTTCTCACAATACAAGAACTCGTGGGCACTCCATGAAATTGCTGAGCAGTCAGGTTAGAATGGATAAAAGGAAGCACGTCTTTACCCAAAGAGTGATTAGCACATGGAATTCACTGCCACGGGAGGTGGCGGCGGCTATAAGCATGGATGACTTCAAGAGGGAATTGGATAAACATACGGAGCAGAGGTCCATCAGTGACTCTTAGCCACAAGGTATAGACAGGAACTCTCAGTCTGGGGCAAGTGACGCTCTGTATTCTTGGTGCTTGGGGGGGGGCAACAGTGGGAGGGGCTTCTAGTGTCCTGGCCACACTGCTCGACCTCCTGATGGCACCTGGCATTTTTGGCCACTGGGTGAAAGAGCATCAAGAGGGAACTGGATAAATAGATGGAGCAGAGGTCCATCAGTGGCTCTTAGCCACAAAGTATAGATGGGAACTCTCGGTCTGGGGCAAGTGATGCACTGTATTCTTGGCGCTTGGGGTTGATGGGGGCAACAGAGGGAGGGGCTTCTAGTGTCCTGGCCCCACTGCTGGACCTCCTGATGGCACCTGGTGTTTTTGGCCACTGTATGACAGAGTGTTGGACTGGATGGGCCACTGGCCTGATCCAACATTGGCTTCTCTTATGTTCTTATGTACAGTTCCCAGGGGCCTGTTTATTTTTTCTGATGGTAGTGGAGAGAACAAACCACAAACTAGTCCGTGGCGTTGATGCATCTTCGGTGTTCTGAAGCCAGGTTTAATGACAGTCAGCTAAGGACAACATGAGCCAGACAGCACGGGTCAATCCTTTCTCAAATCGAGTACAAGACAACATTGAAAGAGAGATATGAATAGGCAACGAATCCATCCAGAGGATGTACTGAGGCACAGGAGAACAAAGGGCTGGATGTTTTTGTACTTGCTGTTAACAACCCTTTTTACACGCCCGAGATGTCTCTCTTGAATGCACGGGAGAGTAATGAAACGGTGTGCCTTTTTAAAAAGAACGAGGCCCGGTTTAGATGAGCTGGGAGCGGTCGGACCGGCAGGCAGGAGATCCTCAGGTGGACTTGTCGGTTCTCTTTTCACCCATGAGGGGTTAAAGACTGCAGGCTGCTGTTCACTGGGATGGCACACTGTGTATGCGGGAGGGCAGAGGGGCGACGTTAATTACTGTCCAGGTACACGAAAGCTGCGGTGGCTCAAGAGGTTAAGACGCTGAACTGCAGGCTGCGGAAGGTCGGTAGTTCAGCAGTTCAAGACCCGAGTGTGCCGCATGACGGAGTGAGCTCCCGTCTCTAGTTCCAGCTCCTGCCAACCTAGCAGTTCGAAAGCAAGAAATTGCAAGTGGATAAATAGGTACAACTTCAGTGGGAAGGGAACAGCGTTCCGTGCGCCTTGGTGTTTAGTCATGCCGGCCACATGACCACGGAAACGTCTCCGGACAGCGCTGGCTCTTCGGCTTTGAAACGGAGATGAGCACCGCAACCCTAGAGTCGGATTCGACTGGCTTTTGAGCAAGGGAACCTTTACCTTTACTTACACGAAAGCAGGCAAACGCTCCAGCTTTTGAACGAGGATGACTACAAGGAAACAAGGGGTTTTTCTGGAGGGAACGTACCAAGCCAAAGAGTCAGGCCTTGGTGGCCCAGAGGGAGCGACAGTGTCTGAACATATCTTGGCATGCGAAGGCTTTACAGAATCTGCTTTAGAAGGATGACTCACCGCCTTCCTGATTCCCCCAATTCAATTGCTTTGTGTCAGAAAAAGGCCTGTTATTTTTGTCATACCTGGAGGACTGTACACAGGGATGTTTTTTTCTCATGCCCACCCCAAGAGCAGTGATCAGTCGATAGCCCGATCTGAGTATCTCTGGGAGAGTGCAACTTGCAGGGCCGGCCCGAGGTTTTTTTGCAACCTAGGCGGGGCTACCATCTGGCGCCCCCTGCGCCCATTAATTAAGGGGTTGCCAACCTCCAGGCAGAGCCTGGAGAGAAGGAAGAGGAGGAGAGCTCTATAAAGAAAAAGAGACACCTCCCTGCACACGCACACACTTTCTTCCCGCGGCCTGTCCTCTATGCTACTAACAGAGGTGAAGCGTTTCCCCGACCCAGAGAGACCACGAAGCCCAACTGTTCCTGACATCCTACCAGGAGCCCAAGTAGAGACACTTTCTGTTGGGGGAACATGGCTGTCTCCTTCCCGGCGGCTCTGGGGTCCCGGTGGGTTTGATCGTCAAGAGGCCACTGCAAGAGACCCCGCCTTCCCGACCATGAGCCGCATGCCTCCCGCCTAGTCTCACCGCTTGTTGCTGGTGGTGCAGCTTCTCCACGGCAGCCAGCGAGCAGACGAACACGGCAGGCTGGCTGTGCACCATGCGGTCAAGCTCGGCGCGTGGCCCGCTCAAGCACAAGGCCAGCAGGTCGTAGCCTAGCACGCACTCAGCTACCCGGAACAGCTCGCGTGCAGCAGCCCATGCCCACGTACTGGCTGCCTTGCCCGGGAAAAAGCAGTACTGAGCCTTCTTCAGGGGCCCGCTTCGCCGTCGTCGCTTCTTCCTCCGGGGGGGGGGAGGGTCGCGGGGGGGACGCCGGCGGCCAACCCCATCCCGGTGCCGCCCATCCTGCGCACCCCGCCGCTGCCATTCCCGCTGCCCAGCCCAGCTGCCGCCACGGTGGTCCCGCGCGCACCCAGAACCACCTGGACGGGGCAATCTGGGCTGCTGTTGGTTGGGGGCGGCCTCTCCCAGTCCAGGCGAGAGGTTGGCTCCGAGGCCCTGCCCCCCCTGGGGCGCCGACTGCGGCGCCAGAGGGAGGGAAGAGAGGCAGGAGGGCAGGCGCAGGAGGCGGAGCGGAGGCTTCGGAAGGTGGTGGACCTTGGCGACGCCTGTGGCTGGCTGGGGCGCCGCGGCACTTGGCTCCTGCGGCCGCCCCTACCTCTTCTCCCCCGCCCTAAGGGCCAACCTGCGCTCTAGGCGAGCCTAGCGGGTGAGCCGGCCCTGGCAACTTGCACTGTTTTTCTTCTGTTAACATAAAAACCACTTTTTCCCCTCAAGGCAAAAACAAACTTCTATAGGAAAGATGTTAATGTGAGAAGGAGCCATCCACTCAAAATGGTGGAAGCACTAGTTTTCATTATTTAATTGGCTCCTTTATTTCCCTGCCTTTCCTCCTTCGTGGAAGTGGTCTTCTGAGGAGCCCAATTTCAGTGAGAAACTACGGTCCTTTCCGCACTAGACCTTAAATATTATGCAGTTCCACAGGGTCTGCAAGGGACCTTATGCCGTTCTGCAGGGCCTGCAAGACAGAGCTCTTCCGCCAGGCTTGCAATTAGGAGCCGCCCCGAGGGAGAACCATGCTCCCTGAACTGTCTGCACCAGCCGCACAATGTTAGATCTGGATCGATCACTAGAACGGTATAATGAAAGCCGACCGCCAACTTAAACTTAAATGTAAATTTAACTTGAAATGTCAATTCGTTAGCACCGTTTAATGCTGAATCGTTTTATGCTTAAATTATTTATTGTGGTTTTATTCTTTGTGAGAGCCGCTCTGAGCCGGCCTCAGTCGGGTAGGGCGGGGTATAAATTTAATAAATAAATAAATAAATCCTGGTTCAACCCCATCCCCGAACTTACATTCTACACCACACTCCAGTTCACCCCTGTAATTATCGTGGGGTATTTTTTTGTTTCCACATACCACTAAGTTCACCCTGGTTTCACCCCACACTTGTCCCGGGATAAACGGATGCTGTTATAACCAGGGGTAAATGCAAGGTATTGTATCGCAAGTTGAACTCTGATAAAACCAGGGATGAGATCCAAGTGCAGTAAGGACCATTGTCAGCGTGAAGCCCCGCGGGTGAACTTTTTTGCCCCGCCAGCCCCGCATTTAAATTGGCCCTTAACATGGTTTAACAAATAACTTCCCGTCTCCAAAGAAAACTCATGAAGAGGGCTAGAGATTTCTAACACAGTTTTCTTGGCCTCCGGATCAAACGACAATGGCCGGGATTCTTTAGGAAGGCGGATTCTGGCCCCTGCCACACGGCAGGGCAAAAGCCACCAAAAAGCGTGGCTTTTAAAAGCTGCGCCAAAGTTGAAACGGTGCGGCGGGATCCCACGGATCAGACGCCGGGGAGAAAACACAAATCTGACGACGAGCCAGCCGAACTGCGCATGTTGGAGCATGCGCAGTTCGGCTAGGAGCCGGGGATGCGCCGGCGCAAGGATGCGCCGGCAATCAAACTCCTGGTTTGCGGCGCACCTTTGAGATGAACCACCTCGGTAGGTGGTTCCAACTTGATGCAGGTTATTGCGCGGAAGGGCCAGTTCAGGGACGGAAGCACTACGCTTCCCAGATGTTGTGGTGTGATCGCGGCCGTTTGCTCCGCCCCCGAACCTTCCCGCTCCCGGCCCAAATCCCCTCGTGTGAACGGGACCTCTTTTCAACACAAAAGAGGAGGAACGTCTGGGATGGCCGAATTGCACTCCCCGCTTGTTCACCGCGAAAGGGGTGACAGAAAATTTTGTAACCCTCTGAGCTCTTTTATGCAGCCTTCACTGCCCTTCCTTCTGGTATCTGCTGAAGGGAACTTTTGACTCTAGAAAAGTCATACC